GTTCCCATGTTGGCAACACTGATTCTGACACTGAGGCACTACACTCATTGAACTGCCTGCCTACTCTGACCCGGAAGTGAGGGAACACACGCATCTCGTAGACTTTCACGAGTTCTCCATATGAACGTCATCGAACAAAACAATCTGCAATCGTATAATCCAATATTTGGAATGATGGAAACTCAGATCAATTTGGGCATAACGGCTTTTTTTTTTGCTTCACTGCATTGCGAGACAAGAGGACAGCCATACCTACCTCTCCGAAGGTACTGGACCTTCTCCACCCAATAAAGGTTCCGACAGGTCAGATCCCCGTGAAGATCCCATCCTCCAAAACGAGTTATTTCTGCTCAGGTTCCCATTCCCATTTGGTCTTCTCATTGAAAACCCATTGCCATTCCCATGGCAATCTCCTTGTCTGTTATTCCCTACCTGTGGATCACCTTCAAATTGAATCATTGGATTATCCGCATCTTCTCTGTAGTGCATGATGCTATTATCATATCTACCCGAACGCGCTCTAGTGTCGGGTTCATCATAACCATTACTTCCCACCTCCTCTTCACTCTCTGCATCATTTCCAGATGAATTCGTCCTCCCGTATCCCACAGCATCAATACCCGTATCTCTACGATCTTGTCGATCTTCATATACACCAATCTGCAATCAAGAAATCAAACCAGAAAGCCACCAATTTGCTCTTAAAATCAGAAGAAGACCAGCTCATGTAGCTTACGCGATCAAGAACAGAGCAGAAAGGGGATTGGGTGGGGCCATTAGGGGAAAGCTTTGGTGAGAAGGATCACAAAAGCTAGCACTGGTACATAATACATCAGATACATCAGCTGCAACCATGGCTTTGGTGAACCGCAAAGAGGGCCTTCTTCCCCTGAACATAACGCATATTCATTGTAAACGAATATACAACGCATAGGGTGGCCAATTTGGTATAATTTGGGCCATTGGAATTTCCTCTTATGAGATTTCTGAAATTGGAATGTTGGCAAAATTTCAAGAAAATGCACGTTTGCCTTGGCGTTTTATAGTTTTTAAACTTTTTTTTAGTTTTTTAAACTTTTTTTCCTTTTTTTTTTATTTTGCGAGGCCACTGCCTCTATGAGCCCCATAAGGCCCCATTTTGCAGCCCGCCGGCCGCCCTAAGTGAAGGCTCGACGAGGCCCTCAGGGCCCTATTCTGGCCACCAGGCAACTCAAGGAAATTCAGGCAGTTGCGCAGCGCCAGTCGGTTGAGTGAACCCAGGGCCTGGGCCGCCTGTGTGAATGTATGTGAAGCAGGCCCTGGGCTGGATACGGGTACTGGGCCAAACACAGGCCAAAGGCAGTTGGGCACATGCAACCACCTCA